TAAAATGAATATCATCCTTATTCTTTATAAAATAAAAATAAAGTTAATCTTCATCTTATTTTATAAAGCAAAGATAAAGTAACATACCTAATCTTTAGTCTTACTTTTTTAGTAGAAAGAAAGAAATACAATTTATTTGTCGACAATCACTGAAAATAAAATAAAAATATCTAAAGGTGCGTTTCTCTCACTTTTTCATTCAGTATATTTTCATGTTTGTGTATAGTCGTAAATATTGTATTCAATCCTTTTTACTTTTACATCGATCATCGTTCGGAGTATTTTAAAGGTAATTATTACTATACTGCTTGTATTTACTTTTATGTCACAGTTTCTCATTTTAAGAAAAGTATACATTAGGATGGGTATGAAAGGTATTCGTTTTTCAATATGGTCCACACCCATTCGCACCCTCAATACTCATTAAGATCGTATATCTTTGAAGGGTCTTTGTTATCTTTTTAATAAATAAAATGTAACAGATACTTATCATAACGTAGCAAAAAACCTACACATATCAGTTTCGAAAGTAAAAAAGGAAGAGAAAGAAGGATCATATATAAGAATATATTTATCATGTATTCTTTTAATATTTTTTAAAGCAACGACGACATACTAATACGCATTCGAAAGTAAGAAAACTATTTTCTACAAGTTAGGTTAGAATTTTTAGAATATTTAACGAGTGAACCTCACCAAGTAATACACGCCGTTTGAGCTTCATCCCATTGTCCAAATTTTGACGAGATATAAGACTTTTAGTGAGTTTATCGCTATAGCAGAGTGTGGATGTGGATTATATTAAGAAATGAATATCACACCCACCCACTCTCAAGATGTTTCTCGCTCTTTCGTATGAACATGAATGATCTAATAATTTTTTCTTCTGCTATACATTTCGGTGTGTATTTCGTAGTTTTTCTCGATTAGTCGTACGTAACTATGAAAAATAGACTGCGATATTAAAAGTAGTCTTAAAAAAATCACTCCTTTATGATAAAACTATTATATGGATTTTGAATTATTCTAGAAAATGACGGATAAATTCGATCCGCAGCCGCTCATTAATCGTCTAGAAGCGAAGCCAATGCAAATAACTCAATCCAAAGTGGCACTCTATTCTGCAATAGCTGCTTCACACGAATATGTCATTTATTACGAGAATAGGTTTCTCTCTATGACAAATCAAGATGGAATCATTAGAAAAAGGATCAGTTGGCCAAACAATCGAAGTCATATTATTGATATTTGTTTTTATAAAGAAAATAAATTTTTTCTTTTAACAAAAAATCGATTTTATATGTTCAATGCAGATAACGAACAAATTCATTTGTTAAATATATTAGATGACGAAAAGGATTCTTCTTATCATCGATGTACATCTAATGGAAAATATCTAATCTTATGTTTTTGGGGTCGAAAAAAAGTTATTGAACAATGGAATTATCAAGCGGCTAAAAATCGATGGAAATGTAAAACAAAATGGGAATCGCCTCTATCATGTCAACAAGATGAATACATTTGTTCTCTCAATTTATCAAAAAAATATCTCGGATTGATAATAAACAATTCAAATGACGAATCAAAGCTTCAATTACGTAAAAGACAAACGATGGACATTGTATATTCATTTCAGTTGTCTAGTCAATGCTCTCGATTTATTGCAATCAATAACAACAATTGGCTATTAGTTCCATACTATAACCGAAGACAAGAAGTTCTTCTGATTAACCCTCGAAATGATACTGTTAAACCCATCCATATTTTCGCTCGATCGCCACTCTATGAAGATATTGTTGATGATAAGATCATTTGGAATATCGCCTTGAGCATAGGCATAGATAACAGACGATATATTATTGTTCGATGTGAAAAATTTGTTTGTTATTATGATCTCCCACAGAATATAAATGAATCTTCAACATAGTGAGAAAATATTTTATTGTGTTCGAAGAAAACTGAATATGTTCTTTATATAATCAAATACAATTTCATTCCACCCCAAGACAAGGGTATAAGTGTAAATGTCTTTTCTTCCACACCCACATCCTATTATACAGCTCACAGTTTTCGTCATCTGGATTAATGAATAGAGAGGACTTAGATAACAGTCTATAATCAATAAAATTATCTAAGAGGCTATGATTTTTGCAGGAGAGGGTGTGGTTGAATGTTATATAATCTTCATACTAACACTTAACCACACCCTCAAATAAATTACGAACAATGAAAGCAAAATGAAGAAATAAGTTTTGAAATTAATTATTTGAGTTAGTTATTCATTAAGATGATAATTGAGCAGACGAGTATCAATAACTGTTGAGGACAAGCATGAATATAACCGAATGATATTTGTTTATCTGTTGTTGATGTTTTTGTTGACGTAGACATATTGGTTAAAACTGAAGTTGTCGATGAATTTATCATTGTTACTAAAAATATAAATAAGATGAGAGTTAATTATTTTAATTTATTCTTAAATATTATATTAAACGTTTATTTGAGTTAGTTGTTTAATAAATCATGTATCTATTTACTTGAAAATTTGGTAAGACCGGTTGTTGATATCATATCTAAAAACAGGAAAAAAAGAATTTTTTTTATTATGAAAGATTTCTTATTACTTGATGTCAGACGACTAATCATTGTTGTTGACGTTGTGTTTGTTATAATCCCTATTAAATCATTAAAGAACTTATAAAAATTAATTTCTAAATATCTCACATATGACAACTACTCTTTAATATTGTTCTTAGAAAATAAAGTCTATCTATATTTGAAATTTATTCTATTTTAACAAAACTTACTACAAGAAGCGACGAATTTTTGAACACGATTATTATGAGTATCAGCAACAATAAGGTCTCCATTTAGATCAAATTTAACATTGAATGGATAATACAATTGATTTGGCAATGTTCCATAATATATGATTCCAGCTATCATCGTACCAGAAGTTGATCCTAACTTCCATTGCATAATACGACAGTTTATATAATCTGCAATATATATATTCCCATTATTGTCTTTAATGACTGACGATGGAAAACATAGTTGGTTAAGTCCCGAACCACAAACACTTGTTTGGCCAGCCACTGTTGTGCCGTTAGTTGCTCCTTGTAACCACATTTGAATTCGATGATTAAATGAATCTGCAACATAAATCGTGTTCGAATTAATTGTATCAACAAATAGTCCGAATGGTGAGTAAAATTGGTCCGATCTTGTTCCATTACTTCCACAAACAATAATAACTGTTGATGGAGATTCCCATCGAACGATGCGATTATTATATGTATCAGCAATCCAGATAAATAATGTAATGGGATCAACAAAGAATCCATAAGGAAGATATAGTTGATTAATACAATTACCCATGCCATTATTACCAGCAACAACTGTTCCATTGATTGCACCAGGTATCCATTTAGTTACACGTTCATTTCCATGATCAAGAATATAAATATTTCCATTAAGATCTACACTAATACCATCCACTGAAATAAATAAATAAACGTCAAAAAATGAGCAGTCATCCTATTCCGGAAAGTTACACATTCCGGAATCGCTTGGCTCACCCAACTTAACATAATTCAATTCCAGAATTCCTTGCATTCGATTCCTGCCTATTCCGGAATTCCTTGCATTCGATTCCTACCTATTCCGGAATTCCTGCACATTCCTACCAATTCCAGAATGGCTTGATCAATTGATATTTATGCAAGCCTGAACATGATGACAAATACGGAATTCCGGAATTCGTGCATTTCCCGGAATTCCTGCACATTCCTACCAATTCCGGAATGGCTTGATCTATTGATATTTACGTAAAACTTAACATAGAGACCTTTCGTCGGTATGCAAGCACAATAGTGTGGGTGCGCGGGGAGCTCGGTCCATGGGCAAACACAATAGTGTGGGTGTGCGGGAGGCTCGGTCTGTGAAGAAGTACACAATAGGCAGGAATTCCTACCTATTCCTACCGATTCCGGAAAAGCCGGAATGTGCATGAATTCCGGAATTCCGCTACGGAATCGACTCGATTATTCAGGCGGATCATTTCTACATGAAGTATAACTTGTGCAATTCCGAAAAAGCCGGAATTCCTGCACATTCCTACCCATTCCGGAAAAGCCGGAATGTGCACGAATTCCGGAATTCCGCTACGGAATGGAATAAGTCGCTCACCATGTTCATTTCTACATCAAGCATATCTTTCGTAATTCCGGAATTGGCAGGAATAGCATTCGATCTGTTCCGGAAAAGGCAGGAATCGTATGCAAGGAATTCCGGAATTGAATGATGTTAAATTGGGTGGGTGCAGCAATTCCGGAATGTGTAACTTTTGGGAACAGGAAGCATTCTCCAAAAAATCTAAATATTAGTTATGAAAAGCTAGAATTACTGGTATAGAATTGATTGAGCTTATAACCAAAAGTTCCATCGATGATCGTTGTTCCAATAGTCGAATTTGGAAAAAAACGTTGCACGCGAAGATTTCCACTGTCTAGGACATAGAGAGTACCATTCTGATCAATGAATACGTCTTGCGGCATATTAAGATATGCTGCAGTGTTGTTTGATAAGCCTAAATATGAGCCAGCAATTGTTGTTCCATCAGGTGACCAAGTCATGTTTGGACAAATAGTTTGAGCTAGATATTCTTCAAATAAAAATCTAAATTAAAATATTTATTAGTATCATTCATTTATTGAATGAGATATTGCATACATTGTTAAAAATAAAGTTATCAACCATATTTGTTTGAAATATAAGTTTACCATTGTGACTATTAGCTAAATAATATAAAGAATGAAATAAATAATTTGTTCACATGAATTACTTAAAAAATCTTATTTAAAATTAATTTATAGTTTCATATTAATTGTGGCTCTCTCTCTACAACTCTGATATTCATGTATGAGCGAATAAAAAATATCGATTAATTTATCTAGGTGCTCTATTATTATAAAAATTCATTTAAAACTCTGAAATTGAAAGTTATTATTTAATTTCTGGATGAATAATCAACTTAAAAATGTTTCAAGTGACAATATCATATATTATGGAAAATATCATTTATATTCTTGTCATTAGCAAGCTAAAAATAAAACTAATATTTATGAATATCATACATTCATGAGATAAATAGTATAATCAGGGAACCACTCGAAATGTTATAAAAACTTTTTCTGTTCAAATTTTGTCTATCAGTAAGGAGTAATTTGGCTTAGATATCGACTTTTTACGAGAATATTTCTATCGAATCCTATTTTCTCAACAAAATCAAAGTTTCAGAATTTTTAGGCTAACTATTATTGAGATATAATGTTTTTAAAATATTCTTTTAGACTTTTCCAAGTCTGTATACTTCCTACCTGTGGATAAAATTTGAACTGAAAAGCTTTTTAATACGTCGGGTATCTTTCTAGTAAGACTATATCTTTTTATTGTTTTTACCTACGATATTGCTTGAAAAGAATACTCTTTTTTTCTAAAAACATATGATATATATATTATTGTTGCAACTTATTTTTATAGTCAATAGTGTTCAGTAATAAGTTTTGAAGAAGAAAAAAAAATTTAATAGATTTTTCCCTTGAGACAAACAAAAATAACTATTTGAATATTATTTTAATATCATGCATCAAAGAAAACATTTAACATATATCACGATTCTCTATTTCTTTTCAAGAGTAAAGTAATTCTTTATAGAAACATGCCACATGGATTTTATATACATTTATTCTATTCTGAAATTTTTTAATTATCAATAAAATGAGTCACTTTATAATGAGAATATTATATTTATTATTTTGTGTTTTTACAGATGTAAAGAAATAATATACTGTTTTAGTAATGTGGGTATCATCGTCATCATCCTCTGATCACATTCAGATATCTTGAGGGATGGGTGTGGGTGTGGGTGTGGGTGTAGGTGGATAAAAAGTAGTCACACCCACACCCTCCTTATGTATTTGTATATATGTGCCAAGAATAAATTCAATGATATGTTTAAATTTATTAAATAAGTTAATATTTTTATCTGTTTAGATCTATCTAAGTAATCAAATTGAAACTAATTTTCGTCTTATAAGATTAATTAATTTTTTTGTTTGTTTAGGATTGTTTCAACATGAAAAACAGTGATCAGTTGAATGTCTGCTCCTATTCTACCTGTGGCAAATCTGACTAAGTATAACTATGAAGCAGGATATATGGATCTCTATTTTTCTAGAACCAGATACAGAAATTGAGTGTACGATGACACTCGTAGTTCCCGATTGACGACAGCTATGGACGTTCAAAAAATACAAACAAATAGGCAACTATTTTTTTTGTGAAAGTGGATAAAAAAAAGAACGTGATGATTATCGTGCTAAATATAAGCTAGCATAAAATTGTTGTGTGCTTGAGTGGATTTGTCTTATTTATATCATAGAGGAAGAATCAAACATACATGAATTAATTTAGGAAAAAAAGCTCTTCCATCTCTTTTTTTCCCTAATTGAAGGGAAACTCTGATATTTTCTGCATTCATTTACACTGAATATTCTACATAGACACATCGAAGTCGATTATTACTTGCGAATAACTTTGAATCTTACATACAATTCTAATGTCATATCCAATTGATTTTTGGATTGCTTTTGCTTCAAGTATAATATGTGTTCTTTGCTCACTATTGGTTCTTTATTGTCTTCTTTTTTATCGAACACTTCGTTCTGCTCTTAACAATCATATCATCATTCTTCTTCTCATTCTTATTATTCTACGTATACTAGAATTCCTTGGTACTACCTTTTATGGATTTGCTGCTGATCAATTTATGTTACCAATGGGATTTTATTTTCTTTTCTCATATTTCTGTGATTATGGTCTGTATAGTATTCAGATTATATTAGTTCTTTGGGCTAATATCGAAAGACACATACTCATCTTTCATAATCAATGGATTTCAACCAAAAAGAAACGATTCTATGTTCATTATATGCCACCTATGTTACTACTCATTTATAGTCTACTCTTCTATATATTGATCACTTTTAATCCATTTTGTGACAGTTCACCACTTAATATTATACCTGGAATTCCACCCAGTCCTTGTGCATTAAATAATGCAATTATAGCAACAGTAGACATACTACTTCATCATATAATTGTCATCTTACTAATTGCTATTCTTAGTATTGCATTGATTGTACGTGTTATATTACAAAAACAGAGATTAAATCAACCAATTCAATGGCAAAAACATCGCAAAATGATGATTCAAATGATTTTTACATCAGTTTTCTATTTGATTTGTGATGCACCATGGGCAATCTTGGTTTTTATTGTGAAAAATAATTTATTACAATATAATTTAGATACACCTTTAATTGTAGCACTTACTCTTCGTAATTATGTAATGTATTTATATCCATTTATTTGTCTGGCATCATTATCTGAATTGCGAAGTAAAATGAAAGACACGTTTCTTTGTTGGCGACATCTAAGTCAAGTTGTTCCTCTAAGAACAATAACAATAGAACCAAGAATCGGTCGAACAATACTTGGCACACAACCTGTTGCTCACTTATCATAATATGATACAATTTTCTTTAAATATCTCTAGTGCATACATGTAAAAATTCTGAAAAACTTTTGATGTATTACATGAATAGATTGAGGAGGAATAAAATTATTAGAGAACAAAATAAGTACTTTTATCTGTCATTTTTGCATGATAGAACATGTTTGATGAGCATGATATGTAAAGATCATACGTTTTCAGGATTAAATTATTTCTCTTCTGTTTTATTTTTATCAGAGATCCTTCAACGTTTTCTTTCGCAAATGTATGTGGTGGAGTTATATATTAATCGTGCTTTTTAAATGGTCCATATTTGATCATTAAAAATGGGTTTCTAAAGTATTTTCACCGTCGATTTTTCTACTAATTTTAGAAGTTTGCTTTTTTTGTTTTTTCATTTCTGGAAACATCCTCCGATCAATATACGATAATCAAACAATTGTGATGAAAGAAAAAACAATATTCATAAAGAATCGTTCTAATTGATATATATTATGTGCATCATAGAACGAGTATTATTTGCTATGGTAATACTAAAATTAATAAATTGCTAGAGAAAGTATTGATAAAAATAACGTGCAGCTTATATTAAATAAGCCTCTCAGGATTTGGCATGTTTGTCATTTATAATTCAACTTCGAAAAACATTTCTTTTATAGAAAGTCATTTTATTATATTCTCTACAAATTTGCGACATGTGATGTCATCTATGATACTTCTATATTTTTTATAAAATGATAAACTAGACTCGTCGGTAAACTAATCGATTGAAGTCACATGCTGTACCGAAAAAATTCCGGTGAAACAGACAAAAAAACAGCGAAAAAATCTCAAATTCTTTTGAAAAACAATTTTTATAGAAAAATGGATCTAAATATGAGATACACCCATGAACAAAAGTCTTTCCTCCCTTTTTTATTTCTGTGCTCTCATAATTTGCATAAAATTTATTGCCAAGTAGATATGTGACTTGACAGCTTTAAATTTGTATAAAATTTATTACCGAGTAGAAATATACCTTGAAAGTTTTATTGTATTGTGATAACATATTGAAATAAAACTCCCAAGTCGTATCTCTACTCGGCAATAAATTTTATGTAAAGTATGACAGTAAAGAAATGAGGAGGAGAAAGACTTTTGTGCAAGGGTGTAGTTTCGAGGAGCATGTATGAGATATCCAACAAGAATCATATTTTTAACGTGAACCTCATAACAATTAATTAAAGTACCTGCGCGTTGTCTCCTTTCATACCAACTCTACCAGAAATTTAACGCCATCTTACAAAAATAATCTTTTTACTGACATCCATCACGTTTTTATGGCCGTCTGAATAATTGTTTTTTTTTCTTTTTCGTTTTCGCGGAATAAATCGAATGTGTAAAGTTGATAACAGATTGATACGTTGAGTAAAGAATGCATAAACGTATATCAGCGACTGTTAATAAACATATCACTATCATTTACTTTCATAGAGCGAAAAGAAACAAGAATGGGAAGCGGGTGTTGTAAGAAAACGCAAATTTATGATGCTGCAGTGGCTGTCGTGCAAACACAAAATGTAGTTGCAACAGAAACACCCTATGGCTATGTGTTTATTTATCCAGGTAGGTGTTATCTTGAAGAATAGTGAAAGATGCAAAAACTTCTGCTAAGAAACAACTACTCACCATCGAGCTTGTTTGAGTTTCGTCAAAACATTCACTACTTTTACGACTGATTTCACAAAACTATTTATCACAATGTGCTGAAATTTAGAGTAGATATGATATAGTTTGGCATAACATGTTTTAATCTTTTTAGGTGCCCCAACACCCCATCAGACGTATACATGTCCAATGCTTTCTATTCATACGTACTATCATTCATCACAGAAAACTGATGTTGATTATGCAACGGCACAGCTTTCGAACAAAAAGAAGCATAATAAACAGTTTGATCCTGTATCTAAAGCAAAAGAAGAACATTTGGCCTCAGATGAAACTGTTCTTATGATTCCAGTCGAAGATGTTATCAATATTTATTATACTTCTGATGTTAAGAAGAGTGTTAAAGCAGAAGAACATTCACGTCGTGTACCTGTAGTAGCACAAAATGGGTGTTGTAGTTGTTGTAAGGATGATCCGGAACCGCAACGGGAAACGACAGTCATTGAACAAAAGAGTGCTCATCGGGTTATCACAATACATCTACAATATTCGAAGTACAGTAATTTAGATACAGTATCAAATGCACGTATCCTTTCTGAAGCCGATCGTGTACAATTCTTCAGAGATAAATTTCAACCGAATACAGAACTAAAATTCTATTTGGTTCGAAATACAGAGTATGATTCAACTAATTTTGAACAAAAGAGAGTGCAAGCTGAAAATCTTTGCCGTATTATAATGCAATTGAAAGGTATGAACAGTGGAATTCCTAGTAACAATTTACGTATTCATACGAAAGACAACGTGGTAGTCCCTGCTGTACCTGTCATATCCTATCCAAGTCCACAAGAACTTCAGCAAATCTTGAATCAGCCATACTATGGAATTTTTGGTGATTCACATCAAGAAAGATCACATTCCGTTCAAACACAACTAGATTTTGGAACACATGCACCAGTACCAATAACGACAACTGTTTTAGGAGCAATAGAAATGCGATCAAAAGGTGCATCAGCGGTTAAAGATGACAACAAGTCCTAGAACATTTTTTTTCATACTATTTCAAACTTTCTGTTTTTTCAATTTATTTGCTATTCGTGCTCACCATACTTTTATTAATATATAATTCCAGACCTTTGTCGTTGATTACGACAGACATATACGATTGTAAACGTTAACGTGGGTGTGAGGATGTCAGTGTGAGTGTGGATGAAAGCAAAGAGAAGATATACACTCACAGTCACACCCTCAAGAAGTTCGCTGATAATGAGATTCACCGAATTGATCCTATAAGCAACAATTGTGTTTTGCGTAATTAGTCTATAATACCAAATCAGTTGATCTCCAAGTGGAACGACTTTCAAGTCAGATGGCTACTATGTCATTTGATTACCATCTTAGATGGGTGTCAACTGACATGGCTACCAACTGAGATGGTTACCAACTGACATGGTTATTAACTGATATGGGTGTAGGATGTGGGTGGGTGTGAGTGTGATTGTGGGTATGGATTTGGGTGTGTTTTCTACTTTACCCGTACTCATATACACACCCAACCACAACCACACCCTACATTGAAAGTTCGTAGCTATTTCAATCGTTATTGATTGTAAACAAAAATTCAAAATGCATAATTCTTGCTAATTTAATATATTATATTACTATTGCTTGCCGCAAATGGATCATTTTCAAAACAAATACTTTTTAATACATCATTCTTTTATAAACATCTCATCGCTAGTTTAACAATTTACATATAATACATATATGTATATTCACAAGCAGCTATTAAATAAATATCATAACACTTCTAAGTGTCTGATAAATAATCGCGAAAAAAGAAATTTATAGATTTTTGATAGTCAACCACTCGATAAAAATATCCGAAATTCAATACGGAAGGAATCAGTTATTTAAATAATGTATGGTTTTAAATAACTACTTGATTCAAATAGCATGTAAAAATTGAATGAAAATATCTAGTATTATTTAAATAGTTACTCCAGTCGTAGAAATATGTTGTTTTTTTAACGTACATCATTTGATGAGCTATTCAAAGCTAGGATTATTAAAGAATTATTATAGCAATTTGAATCATTTTATACCTATTCGTAAAAAAAGAAACTTACAGGTTCTCCATATTCAGTCACACAATAAAAGAATAGATAAGAAAATCTATAAAAAAGGAGTCAGTAACTTCAATAATTTAATGGTTGTGCACATTTGTTTAAATAGCTATGCTGTTTAATTGAAGAGTATCTCTTTTGGGAAACTACGGTCGTCATTCGAAAAACATTTCATGTCAACATGAATTAACATATTATATTAAATAGAAGAATTACTAAATCAAAGATACTTAATCGATATAAATATATTCACATCTAATGAAACAAAATATTATATATAAATTTGATTCAATGAAATTTAGTAGATAAAAAAAACTATGTTTAATTGAAGAAAAAAATGTTTATATCATGCTAAGCTGATAATTAATTATGACTAATTTGGTATATTTGTTAGAGATGCTGTTGCTGCTCTTTTTTGTACTTTACCAATCACAAACATATTGATTACAGAATGAATATTAGCAATCACAAATAAGACTAAGATAACTATTTTTAAATTAGTGGCTAATAATCGATCACAATAGTTGTACCAATAAGAATCTGGATTACATTGATATGAGACAGAAATATTCACAATAGATAAAATAAGTGCTGATACACAAAGAACCAGTATAATAATAAATGTTCGTATCAAATAAGTCATAACGTGCGATGTCTTGCATGCTATAATCAACATCCCAATTCCACCACCAGTAAGACATCCACCTGCCCAAATACCACTATAATAAGTCGAATAAAAATTAATAATAATACCAATTTCCAGACCTAATGCCATTATACCCCATATCATATAAAAGATACCTGAAATGATTAAAAATGCTCTAGTATTAGATTCAATAGGTATTGATTGCATATTATTCCATGATCGATAATTTGGCATAACAATAAAACGTTGCTGCTGAATCATCGGTGCTTGACCTGGTGCTGGATAGCCACTCGGTGGTGGTGCAGCATTGTTAAGTCTTTGAAAATAAAACAAGATTTTTTGTTTCAAGAAAAAAACATGAAATTCTAATTGAAATCTATTACATATGGGTACATATTTCCTGGTCCAAATTGTGGTTGATTCATTGGTGGATATTGATTAGAATCGGCATTACCATAGTTATTAGAAGCTTCTTTATTTAGATCATCTTGCATTGTTGTAAAATCTTCGATAGACTATAATAAGATTTTTTCGTAGAATATTTTTACAATGCAGTTATATATATGATGTAACTTTTATTTTTATTTATTGCGCTACACATAGATAAGAAATAGATATATAATGTTTATTCTTTTTTGTTGTTGCACATGATAATAACAATAACGACGGTGACAAATTTATTCTCTAGTCTTTTAATATTGAAGAAATTAAAATAAAAACAACTTTGTGTTAAAAAAATAGATAAAATACTTTGTAAAATGACGTTTTCTACCGTTACGTGTATAAGATAACAATCTATGAATGATTTTGCATAAAACTTTTTAACCTTTCAAAGAGTAACTATTAATATTATACTATGTATCTTAAATAAAATCTTCGAACACATTTTTTAAAACAAAATATACAATATCTAATTTGTTCGGGACAATACATTTTTAATGACTGACAAATAAAAAACAATTTTCATTGTTGTATAGTTTGTCAACAGTACTCTATGTATAGGATGTGGGTGTGAGTGTAAATATCAGTTAAAGCTCACACCTATACCCACCCACACTTAAATAATAGTTGTTAACAAGATGAATAAATTAGAAATTAAAAACTCATATAAAGAATATTGGAAAGTAAGTTACTATTAAAATTGATTCTATGAGTTGACTTTCATCGTTGTAAGAGTAAATCTGTATGATATATAAATGTTAATCATTTATCAATACAATATTTCACGCCTTTTGTTTTGTAATATCGTGACATCCATTCGATTCCTATTACTAATAGATTACTTGAAAAAGACATTGGAATATTGCTCTAACAAATATTTTGTTCTCTTCTTTTGTATTTTTATAGGAAGAGGATATATAAATAGTTATCTCAATGGCATATGAACTATCCGCTAAAAAAAACCCTGAAAACTGAAGGGAATCTATAAATAATTAGAAAGTATGACGTAAGTAAGTACTCTAATTTGAATAATACTGATCAGATAGATAGATGAATCAAGAAAAGTTTCCTTTATTTTATAATAATAATTTGAATAGTCTATGGCTGTTTCGAGATCAGTATAAATTGATTAGTAATTGGAATTCTTATATAAATTATATGTTTTTGATTAATTAAAAAATTAAAATTTGGAAGAGATTATTTCTATAAATCAATTCTATGTCGGAAATATCTTCGTTTTTTATCGAAAAAAATATCAAATAAACGATTGTTTTTTATTTGTATTAATACTTATTCAACATAAAATTACATCTGATAAATATTTTTCAAAGATATTCAACATTATATTAGCAAGATTTATTCCTAACCTAGATATAATCCTGTATATGTATATTTCAGGTCCTGTATATCTAAGAATATGATAAAGAACTTTTGTCTTTCCTTAAATTTCGTTCCGTCCTATATTGTTTAATACATTGTTACTTTTCGTTTTTCTTCCTTGCGATAATTGTATAGTTATTGTTTTTTCTCTTTACAGTTGGTAAAAACATGTTATATTTGACTATGAATAGACATATAAATAAATTAAAACGATTACATTCAAAGTAATTCTTTTCAATTAGAAAAACTTTGAAAATTAATAATTTTTTTAATTTAGAAATAATGATATAAAACCATCAGCAAAAAGGTTTTAAAACGAAGTGACGTTTTTATAATTGAAGAATTAATTTATCTATTAACTTTTAAGACAATTTCGTAATGAAACTGAAAAACGTCGTCGTGATTTATCAATACAATTAATAACAAATTGAAAAGATATACTTTTAATTAAAAATTCTTCTGATACAAATGAAAAAAGAATACGAAATTAAATAAAGTTTCAATTTTACGTCTCAGCAGAGTAAAACAAAATTAGTTGTACCAAAATTGCAAAATTCTATGCTGGAATTTGCTTGGAAACCACCATGTAATATAATTTGTATTGATGAATGGTTATAAATAGTTATTGAAGTATAACTAAATAAAGAAAACGATTTAGATATATTTTCTTATTCTAGTCAATACATATTGTTTTTTTCTTGTGATTAAATTTGATTTGAATTTTTGATAAAATAGTTCATGTATCAAAAAATATTGATTCATATTTTGATTATTCACAAGATGAACTTATTAAATATTCATTATTTGAATTTATTCTTCCATCAAATCATGATCGATTACTCATCTATCGTTTAAATGGCTATGAAGGCTGTTTTTTTTATTTGAAAATTTGCTTTATATAAATTATTTTTATTTTGTTTAGCTAATGAAAATAAAAAATACTGTATGTCAATGTTCAAGGAAATATTGATTATTTAATATCAACAACAAATTCAACCAAGGATAGAATATATCTATAATGGGATTTCTTTTGTTTCAATCAGAAATTTAAAAAACTGGTTTAGATATTTTTTGTTTGTTCTGAGCTCACTTCGACGAATCATTTTTCTATATGTATTCAATCATATGTAATAAATAGAACATTATACGTTCCTGCTTGAAAACAATAGTTTGGTTCTTCTTTCTAAAAAAATATTCAAATTAATAATGATTATTTTGATCTTTAATTATTCGAATTTCCTTAAAGATATTAAAAGTAATAATATCGACGCTAAAAAGTCGTATAGTACACTAGAGACGATATATTCTTTCCGTATCTCATATAATAATATTGTAAAAGCGTTGTTTTAATAGATAAAATTTTGATGTCAATATTTATAAATTATCATCTTAGAAATACATCATAGTCGATAGTACATGTATAATATAAATGTATAAAGATTGCTATAAATTAAAAATGAGAACCCAAATAACAGAAAAAGTAAGTATGATGAAGAAAATACAGTCGACTGTTTTCAACACGAATCAAAACTATGAACTCCTTTTTTTCATAACGGAGAAATATTTTACCATCTTGAGAGGTCAGGATGTGAGTGTGGGTAGGATCGTTCACTTTGTCTACCATCACCTACACCCACTCTCTACTAGTAATTTTACTCTGTGTGAACTTATACTTGATCGAAAAGTAAATCTTCCTAAAGAACATCAACCAAAAGAATTTCAGTTTGTAAAATCTTTTAATTATTTTAATCAACTACCCAAGAAGACAAAAAAGTTCAAAAGCGCGGTAAACGCTAAAAATATGTAGACCGTTTTCGTAAGCTAATCATGGTTCCCAATCACTACCGCGAAACACATTGAAAAGATATGTCAAAATACGCAGAACTTTTTTACGTGAGGGTATTTGGGACGAGTACTAGATGAACATTTCACATCACAAATGCATCAAAAACTAGTCGCATTTACTCGTCTATATTTTCAACATGTTTTCCACTCACGATCGGAAACCTCGATTATCAGCCAATAATTTTCCTAAAACTTAAACGTGAAAACATTGTATTTCAACGCACCCATAAGTTATTCACTTTCACACACTGGAATTATTTAAACGCTTTTTCATTAATATTCCAAAAGAGTTTTTACTCCACGATCGAGAACTCTGATTATACAGTGCACGAATTCAAAAAAAAAAGAGTCGTGAAAACTGTATAATTTCCAACAGTGAGGGTATGGATGAGGGTAATTTTTTCATTTGGCACCCACACCCACACTCTATTTGTTACAAACATGCGAACATATTTATCTAATTAAAAAATATGCTATATTGATTTCCTTTTTTCTAGATAAAAGTAATCTTTTTCAATTCGATATGAAGTATATATATCATTATTTTGCTAGATAAAAAAACATTCCAAAGCACTCATAAATAATAGATTTTGAATATGCATTCAAAGTTACATCGTGAGATCGCGAAGAAAATGAGTATTTTGCACCTTTACACAATTGAAAAAAGATAGATATTCCAAAATATATAAGTTTAAATCATTATACTGCTCATTTAACACTGTTAACATTGCAAGTGTCTCTTAACCCTTAAAACGCTCGAATATTAATGATTGGATAAGTCTAGACACGTCTTCTTAGCTAGAACTCATTATATCGCAAGTGTAAAACGGCATTATTTTTTTTTAAATTCGTAAATGCAAAATTTAATGCATGAAAACATTTATAATTCTACCTATTTCGTTGTTTACACTGTAAAACTTGCATCGTTAGTTACGGAATAAATTTAATACATGAAAACATTAGTAATGCTACCTCTTTCGTTATTTACACGGTGAAACTTTTATCATCAGTTACGGAATAAATTTAATG